TTTACGAAAAATTTAAGAGAGCACTAACATAAAGGTTGAACCCCAACTTTAAGGGCCCCCACGTCCCCGTTCCTGAAATATCATGAGGGAGGTAAATCGCGGGATGTGCCCCAACAAATCAAGGAACAAGAGGTTGTCCGTACACTGGTGTACACAAAGAGTCCAATTCCATATTTCAGCAATCGAACTCTCACACTACGACTGTCGGCAAAGTTAAAACTATCTCAATCCTATCCTTTGCACCACTGGGATATATCCCGGGGCTAAGAGAGCACTAACATACAAATACAAAGTGAGAAAGGGACTCTTTATTCCACCTAATAGTCAGAATGCAATTCGATTATGTATTTAAAAAAAAAAAATATTTATTATTTAGAATTCATTTTCAAAATCAACTGATTCACTTCAAATTGATTAGTTCACCACCGAACTTTTGCATTTATTTATCTATTTAATTTTTATCGTTGATTCATCTTAAATCCGTTGACTCTTGATTCATTATTTTTAACAACAGTTGTTTTTCAAATATTAAAAATTCTATATCTAGTTTTAAATTTATATCAAAAACATATAATTTTTCACAATCATCAAAAAAAAAAAATAGAACAATTAACTATATAATTTTTAAGTTGATACAATTAATTTATTTTTATAATTAGTTACTTGCTCTCAGACATTTTTGGAACACTCATATTATGATCGATAGAGTTTATTCCACTTGAAAAGTCTATATGACTATTGAGATTACGTTAATTAATACTGCCAAAAACTATTCAAAATTACTAGTAGTAAGTACGTATTTTGCATGTCTTATGTATTGAATGTACTTTTCGATTGTATCCTTAAACAACGTAGTTTAAAAATTACTTCCTTGAAAAATGAAAACATTATATTTAATCTAATAGTGAAACATCTATGAGAAAAGAATTGGCTAATTCTGACATTATATAATACCTCTCCATCACACCAAATAAATTTAAGACATGACAACAAAAATAAACATTAACTATTAATAAAATGGAAAAAGTTAATATTTTTCAAAATTAAATCGACGACTTGACTCATTTTGTTCTTCTAATGATGTATCAGGGCTCAATTCTATTAGTGTTTTTGATGATGGTTTATTTTATTTGTGATGTTTCTAGCATACAAAACAAAACAAAAAGAAGTCATTGATATTTTAGTTTAATTATTTATTTATCAATGTTGAAAAAACTATATAGAAAATATAGATCACAAAAATATAATAGCATCATACAACAAATGTCTTTATCAAGAATGTGACTATGCTCAAATACTAATATGATGCAGCGACATATACTAATTATAATTAATACTTCAAATTTTGTTTAATACCGAAAATTGGACAAGTATAAAAAAAAATTCTTAAATGATTTTATTTAATATAAAAATTAGCCAAAGATCAATACAAAAGTCACGTTTCAACAAAATCTTAATTGTCAAAGTTAAATATAATTGCACCAATACTAATGTCCTCTCATCTCTTCTAAGATTAATTGCTATGTAAAATCATAAATTTATAAATATTAAAATATAAATCGTTAAGTTGAAGATGAATCACGGTAGTGAAAAGAGATCTGGCAATAGATGTGCAGTCAAAGATGGCTCCACACAATCATAAATATGAATAAAAAAGTATGCATATTTGCATAAATTTGACGGGACAATGATACCATTCGGTTGCCACATGCTTAGGACGTCCCAAATAGATGTATACATATACAATTAATCTGATTTGTGGTAATAGATAAATTTAGAATAGAAATTTTATACAATTAAATCATGATATTAAAAATTAAATTGAAATGTGAACCAAACTTAACAAATTGCCAAACAAATAAAATAAAATAAAATTCACAACAATCATCAACTTATAAGTAGCTTATGTTCATCATTTAGATAGATATGACAAAAAGTACTAAAAAAATAAAGAGAAAAATAACTACATTATCTTTTTAGCATAATAAAAAACTTCATCAAAAACTAAGCGTGTGTTTGGCTCTGATTCTTACCAATTTTTTCCAACTTTTTTTCAAAAATTGTTGTCCCCATGCAGAATATAAGGACGACGTCCCTTCCAAAAAAACCTAGTCATCTGGGTGTGTATTAGTCATTTGAATTATGGAAATTTGTGGAAAACTATTTCAGCCCTTTAATTGGAATTTTATTCCTTCCCTTTCTGTTGGAATTTTATTCTTTCCATTGAGGGCGAAATAGTCATCAAACTCAAGGCGATTTTTCATCTGATATCATCTCAAACAAAAGACCGAGTGATTGTAACATTTTATCAATGTAAATATTGTAGCAAAATGAGGTGTCAAGAAAAAAATTGGAAAAGAATGGGGATCAAACGTGGCTAAAACAACCATTCTTCTTCTTCTTCTTCTTCTTCTTCTTCTTCTTTTCTATAATTTATATCTCACGCAAATTGACTTCTCCAAAGCTCCAATGCCCTAGCCTACAACAAATTGTTTTCATTGACAGCAGTTGTAAAATAGAAATGTTGATTTTTATAGCTATGAAGGATAATTGCAATAGAGGCCCTAAACCTTTCACACATTAGTAGACTTTTTCCAAACCTTTGATTTGTTGCGACCATTCCCCTAACATTTTCAAACGTGATAAGTGAGGTCTCAATAGATAAAAAAAAAACATCCAATTTCCCGTTAATTGACCAAAAAATTGAGTTTGACTACATTTTTAATATTTTTATAAAGAGTAAAATATTAACTTTCTATCTACCAGATTACATAATTACAATAATTAAATTAAAAAAAAACTGAAAAAAAGGGAAAACAAGGGAAAATTTTGACTAGTTGCCAATTTCTCGGTGCATATTTTTTCTTATACATTTGATTATTTTATGCTGAATTAAGAAGGAAAAAAAAATATTATTCATGTTATACTAAGGATATGGTTGATGTAGATTTATATAATAGATTTTTGTGAGGTCCCCCGGGGCATAATCCAGTGGTGCAAAGGACGTGAGTGAGGTTATCTCACGTCTTGCTAACAGCTGCAGTGTGGGGGTTCGATTCCTGAAACATAAAATTGGACTCATTGTAGGCGCAATGTATAAGCAACTCTTATTCCCTAACTTGTTGGGGTACATCTCTAGATTTACCTCCCTCACAAAACTCTAAGGGCGGGGAGGTGGGGCCAAGGTTGGGGTTCAACCTTTATATAATAGATTTTGTGAGAAATGATATTTTTGAAAAACATATGGTTGAAAAATAGAAAAAATATGAGTTTACATGTAAAATTATTTAATTTAAAAATTATATGTTTGGAAATAAGTTTAAAGAAAATAAATTTTGAAAAATATGTACCAATAGGGACTAAGTGAACAAATTAATAAATTTTATCGAGTTAAAACAACAATCTCACCTGTTTTGACTGCGATTAATTTATTGATTATAATAGTCAAACATCTAACTATGATCGACTGCAAAAAATAAAGTATTTTAATATAAAAGAGGTCACATTAGATAAAAATTCACTCTCAACATTGACTCATCGCAAGCTTTCTCATTGCCCAAACTTAAAAAGTAATTAAAATCTCTTTATTGAACAGTAAGTATAATTAAAAATATTATTAAAATGGATTAACTGTCATAGATAAATAAATTTAAAATTTAAAATAAGTTGGATAAATAATTGCGATTAAGACCCTATTTGTCCCTTATTTTCTATTAATACATTTCATGACATGAACATTTTTTTTTTTTTAAAAAATTTCGATCAAATATTTTATCAGCTTTTATTAAAATTTATTTAAAATAATTTTTTCAACTAAATTAGATATGGAAAAATTCATAAACAATGTATTAACTATACACAATTCAAAAATCAAGTTTTAAGTTTAACTAATGTAAAAATCAGGTTTTTATCTAATTAATTAAAAATATTTATTAATTAAATATAATAAGGTCATAATTATACAATTAATTGTCACATGTACACAATTATAGGTAACAGATTTATTTACTGGTCACATATCATTAAATTAATTGGTCACAGATTATTTTGAGGTCACAAATCAGAACTTTATTAGGTCACAAATTATTTTGAAATCACATATCATAATTTATCTATCGATTTTATAGGTCACAAATCCAAAAAATTATAAGTCACACGTAATACATTTTCAAATTTGATGGTCACAGATGACTTTTTTAGTTACAAAATAATTGAATTTTAAAGTCACGGATTAATAGTATAATTGGTCACAAACACCAAACACCCAAATCGATCGTGAACAGCCACCACCAGATCCGCCACATTCAAAACCAAAACACGGATCCAATTTTAGATCTAAACAACTATTTGTCTCAAACCACCCAAAAAGCCCCAAAAGTAGATGACAAAGAAATTGTAAGAAGCAGCAAATTTAGCACTAAATAGTTGTAGCAGATCTTTCCCAAATTCCTCATCATTCTACACCAGAACATCACTGTTCACACTGTCAATAGATCATTACCCAATTTTTAAAAGTGATCAGAACCCATACAACATGATCAGAACTCAACTCCGACGAAAGCTAGAGAAAAGTGAGATGCCAAATGTTTCTATAATTAAACCATCAGCAAATCAGTAAACCAACTGGTGTGTGGTGAAAATTGGGAGAGAGAGAGAGAGGATAGGTTTGACTTTTGAGGGAAGTCTCAAAAAATGTTGCTCTGGGTGTGTTTGAGCGAGTGGGATGTTATTTATAATTCCACAACATTTTATTTAAATTTATCACCTGATTTTTGCACAAACAAACCTTCAACCTGTTTTTTAAATTATGATCTTTAAATGCCTATTAGGGTGTAATTTCCACCTAAATTTATTTTTAAAAGTATCTAAATCCATAGAAAAAAGTCAAGGGACAATTGGAGTCCATACAATGAACTATCTTTAAAATGGATAAAGCAAAAATTAAGGCCATTGTTTTATTTTGGAAAAATAATTGCCTAAAAAATATAAAATTCCAAAAATTAAGAACAAATTTCCGCCACTCGCTAAAATACGCTCTGCGTGCTCTTCACTCTTCGTCCCTATCCCGCTGCCAGTTTTACTGTTACATTACAAATATTACACAAAATTCACCGCCTCCGCTTTCCGGCGAGATACAAGTTGTCGCCTGTCACGTGGAATTCCACATTTTTTCCAGATGCAGTTGTTGTTGGAGGAATTCGATTCCTTTTTGCCAAATGAGAAATGAAATTCCTTAATAATTTTTTGGCTGAGAATGAAAAGCAAAGGAATTTTAAGTGAAGCCATTAAATGCTTTTAGTTTCTATACGGGTATCTGATTCTATATTCCGTTGGAATTTGAGGGATTTTATTAGCATTTCGCCCTTACCAAAATGGCTATATAAATCCAGGATGCGTATCAAGGGGCGCCCATTTTCCTTTTGCGTTTCGCTATTTTCTTCTCCAAATCCCAATCATATTCTTGAGCCCTTTTCATTTTCCTCTTCAAGAATTTTATTCAATTCCGGGATTTTATCGTCTCCTCTTTCGGGTCAATTTCCGAGTATAAGAAAAGTGACTAGTTGCAAAGGTTAGTGAGTTTTCTAGATCAATCTTGAACGTGTATCTTGTCATTTTCTTTGCCCTTTTTCTTTATTTTTCTAAATCTGGGGAGAGAAGAATTTTTTTTTTTTAAATATTTAACGAATTTTTACTTTGCATGTTATTTTATTTGATGTATCTTCAACATGCATGATTAATTCCTACGAAAATCAGTTCTTCTTTTCTCAGTTTTGGGAAAAACTTGCATTCTTAGGTATATTTTGCATTGGTCAAAGCTGCATGATTTCTGGAAAAGAGAAATTTATTGAATTTTCAGGATTAATTGAATTTGGCAATTTTCGTTCTTGAAGTTGTTTCAGAAAGCAAACTTGAAAAAGGTTTCTGGGTAAGAAAAGATTTTGAACTGCCATGCCTATTTTTGATGTTTTGTACTTGCATAGATATAATATTTTGTTTTGTGATGTCAGTCAGGTTTGTTGGAAAACATTAATTTCTGCCTTCTACTATCATCTTTATTAAATTTAATTCTATATGACCATCAAGGCATGTTTGGTACACAGTGTTGGACATGACTGAATAGTACAAATGAATGTGGATGAATTAGTTTCCTGTCTTAATTTGCCAGACTTATTATTTGAGTTCCATTTTGGAACTGCATGCCTTAATTTTTAATGACAGGTATGGTGAAATGCACTAATGTCCAGCTTTTACTATCATAGTTATTACATATAATTTTGTTCCATCAGTTTTTATGCTGTAGAATAGAGAGTGAAATATGTTTGTGAATATGAGGATGAGGTCTTTTAGTAATGGAGTAAGAAGATGTTTGTGTAGGAACTCAATATAGTCAAGATTTACTGTGATGAAACCAGTGTCATCCTTGGAGTATAGGCTTAGAAGTTGGAACATAACATGGGGCCAGAGGATATACATACAATGATTACCGAATGTAAGGTGCCATGGTGCAGGAAGGAGTCCTTTACACTTCATTTTTAATGACCTTTACCCTTGTGTTTGATTTAATTAATTTTGGGTTCTTGTTCCTTAATAACAAATAATTGGTTTTCTTAATAGTGATAACTGGAGAATATCCGTCTAGTTTTGCCACTCATTTTTTGTGCTGTTATTAATAGGAATATTGAAATGTGAAATTGCCAAGATTTGATGGCTTGTATTGAAGTTTACTTAATGCGGGGGAAATATGGGGAGTAACTAATCTGGAAATACTTATAATTAGAGTATAATTTATCACTCAAATTTATGAAGTAAAGATTGAGCCAACACAGGCTCTGATAACTCCATTTCTTGACACATGTAACATCACAAACTCAGTTTATTTTATTGACTTTACACATGTCGTCTCTAGTGTCTCCTCAGTGCAATCTTTAATATTTCGTACTTGCGGATATTTTAGCTTATCCTATATTAAAAGCTTGAACCATTAATTTGGTATGTATTTGATCGCACAATTAGCAGACTTGTTGCATTTAGGATAAATACGTTTTCTTATTCACTGTTCAAAACTAGAAAGTATAACCATGTAGATAAATCATTGCCTATGTGCAAAGTTTTTGTATAAAATGCTTTTGTCTTTGGTTACTTGGGCTTTCATTGAATTCAAAAATCTGTGCTGTTTCCATACTTGTTGATATACACTAAGAGCATGTTTGGTACGCAATATTGGGCATGACCTGAAAGATACCATAAACAAGATTGTAAGTTCTTTCCCTTCTTTAATACCGTCCAATACTCTTCAACTCACCTTAGCAGACATGCCATAATTTGTTTATGGCTGGTGAATAACTTAAATATTAACTTTCCTTCAACATCTGCAGTAAATATGCATAAACACCGTGCAACATATATGCCTAGTAAACAGCAGTTAACATGCATTGAAAAATCACCTTTACATACTTTTGATACAGTCCTGCTAGCAAGTGTGTGCTAGTCACTTTGTTCATTTAGTTCTTGATTACCACAGTCTTTGGCGGATTTGTTTTTAATTTTGTGGAGATATTGGCAATTTGAGTTGGCATAACTTTAAAACTATTCTAACAAATCATTCACTTTTTGTTTGTTGACTACCTTCAGGTAATAACCTTCATTCCAGAAATACGATGGATGGCATGGGTGCAGATGGAAAAACATTGCCACCCGAGACAACTGATACCAGTGATCGTGGTCAGAATCCCTATATATGGTCTTCTCCTAAAGCAGGACAAAAGATTGATATTGGAAAGCAGATATTCTGTAATAGGTCTTTGAACATGAAGAACATCGTTGCAGTGGGATTTGATATGGACTATACTTTAGCTCAGTACAAACCTGAGACTTTCGAATCACTTGCTTATGAAGGCACAGTAAGAAAGCTGGTTTATGATTTGCAGTACCCTTCGGAGGTTTGTCTACATTTTGGTCTGTTCTATCTTATCAAGAAGAAGTTTTTCAAGAAATGATGAAAATTGAAAGCCATTAATATCCCAACAAGTTTAAGCTATTGTGATTGTCTACTGATGAAGTCAGTAATTGAATCTATTTGTCCTTGTCGAATCTTTCTACACTATGAAATATGAATCCCACTCAACAGAAAAAGGAAAGGAAAAAAGAAATGAACCAAAAATATGAAGAACTTACCTAATGTTTCACAAAGTTGGATTATATTTGCTCTTTGCTAATTTTTTATTTTATTTTATAATCTGAATAGTGATAGCTTATTAACTTGAGTGGCCTTGTATAGTTGTTGGAATGGACATTTGATTGGAAATACATGGTCAGAGGATTAGTTCTTGATAAAAAGAGAGGCAATATATTGAAGGTTCGTGTTCTATACCGTGACTAAATCTTTGTTTCATTTTTTTTTTTTTTTGTTTGGATTTAACGTGTAAATTAAACTGTGTTGGTTGTATGATTCATAGATGGACCGACACAAGTATGTCAAAGTAGCTTATCATGGATTTAGAGAGATGTCGAAGGAAGATAAAGTTGCTACATATGGAAGTACTTTGACACGCGACTCGTTTGATGAACCTGACTATGCTCTCATCGATACCCTTTTCTCTTTGGCTGAAGCTTACTTATTTGCACAGCTTGTTGACTTCAAGGATAATAATCCAGGAAAAGTTTTGGCAGAGTAAGAGAATTATCAATTCTTTAATACATTGGGTACAGTAGTTATTTCTCTTCTCTCTATTTGATGTAATAATTCGTCCAACAGCTGAATAAAATTCAAAGTATATTTTGTGAACACGCTCAAGGATAATAGGCTCCAAACCTTTGACACTCCTTCCCTGTTACAGATAAAAGCATATTACCAAACATGGGATTGTATATCTTGCAGTTTTGCACTTTGTGTTACTGATTCAAAATTTGCACCTTTTCTGGTGTTTTAGGTACCATTTTGGCAACAAATTATTTGAACAATCTGGATTGAGAAGTTTGTTGGAAAATAGCTACTCTAAATTGAAAGAATTTCTTTGTTATCTGAATGCAAACATATGTTCTAACTGGTACCTTGAAGTTTCTTTCCTAATTATCCCACTTTAATTGGTGTCATGTTTTTTCTCTAATGGTATTGCAGCTACTCTCAAATGTACAAAGATGTTCGAGCAGCGGTGGATTTGTGCCACCGTGATGGTACTTTAAAGCAGATGGTTGCAAAAGATCTTAGAAGGTATTGTAATTTCTTCAAAATGCAGCGTTGAAACTTGTTAACTTTTTAGAACAATGTAGTGCTAATTGAGAGAAATTTAGAATGGATAAGTAGTTAGACATCCTTATCTGACGATTAGTGATAACTTTTGGAGTATTTTGCATATAAAGTGAGATGATTTTTCCCTTTTTATTTATGCTCTTCGTCATAAAGGTGACTTTGGTTAGTTAAATGGAAGAAATATTGATAATACCACTTAGCAAGGTTAGGAGTTGGAAAAGGTGCATAAATTTTCAGCAAGTATAAGATTTATGTTTAATGATTTCTTTGGGCGTTTTTGTCATGGTATAAATAGCTAAAATTATATATGAAAAATTAGTAAACCAAATGTGAGGATGGATATGCAAGAACAGGCAGCTGATTCAGTGATAGCCTGGTGATGCATGCTACAATCCTGTACCTAAAATAAGTTATTCCGTTAATACCTGTGAGTATGATACTGATATGAAATTCTCATAATTTATATATAATTACTAATTAATAAATACTATTGTGTGATTTAATAATAAACACTGATAGATAGTTTCTGGAAAAGGGTTGATAATTCAAAATATTAAAAGATTATCAATGTTATAAAACCCAAACCTAACCGATCAGTTCAACCATTAAAATCTTGAATTGGCCTTAAATTTGGTCCAGTCATCCTATATTAACCGAAAAATGAAAACCCAGTCAACAAACCATAGAACCGGCCAATTTAACCGTGAACTGAAAACCCAAATACTGTTTTACCGGTTACTAATTTTCTTTTTTACACACTTTCAACTATTTCATGGGCTCATGCATTGAAATTACAGGCCCAATTAAGATTTGTTACAAGTGCTTGTCATTTTATAGACACTCTTCCCTCCACTACCACATTCAACTTTCGATGTGGGATAAAAGACTATATCCAATTGTCAAACATACAATTAAAATTATTTGAACAAAGGTTAAATGGTCCCCAAAAAAGTATATATAAGCAAAAACAATTTCAATTTGAACAAAACAAATTATATGGACATATTGATCATTACTTTTTGAACTTTTAAAAGAAATTATATGATAATAAATTTAATTAACAAACATGAATGTATATTTACTTTGAATTAGCAATATAAAATTAAAAAAATCTATTGTTATAATACTTTATAGTTTATGGATGTATTTATTTACTTAATGGTATCCTATTTGTCATCAATTTGATCATGGTTGAATCTTTTGAACCTTAAACCTTGATCTTTTTCAAGTTAATGAACGTGCTGATATTCAAAACATTGAAGATTATATTAGGAATTTGTTCTTTCTTTTATTTTTTGAAAATTAAGATGGTCACTTTCATATTAGTATTACTACCATTGTTTACGCTGTAAATAAGTTTGCCATGATCAATGTAATGATAAAAGAAGGATGAGTGATTAACTAAAAATTGCACAATAAAGTTTCATCTAACACCTAACATTCATTACAAAATTCCACCAAGTTCGATATTACAGAGCATAAGGTGCACAATAAAAAAATTCATTTTTTTCTAAGGGGCATGTTATTCCACCCTTGCTATTGCATCTCTAATATCTCCAATGGCCTGGAGGACTGTCGATGAAGGTATGAATGGTTGGTGCTGAACCTTTATCAAATATCAGTGATACTGTAGATATTACGAAAATAGTCAAATAGATAGTGTTGGAAACATACTTTCTTTGATAAAGAAGTACGTGACGGTCTATATAAATATGACTGTAAATAATGGAATTTAATTGGATGGGTCTTCCTTTAGCAACCGATGTCACAGCACTCAAATGAAAGGATGTGGTATGCTAACATCAACTGCCTTGTTGTGTTCTCCTCAAGTTGTAGTATCATTAGGTGATGTAAAGTGGCAGCAATTATAGTTGCTGTGGCCTGATACTACCCATGATATGTGAATTCTTTTATAGTGTAACAATAGATGCCCTTTTCAAGACTGTATATTGAAAGCACTATGAAGAGAAAGACAAATATAATTGATTAAATAGGTACCCAGTTATGAATTGGAACCACCTTTGCTGTGACTCAAATATAAATTATAAAGATATAAAATTCCAAGAGGCCCAGCAGGAAGGAACCTCGCCAAAAATAAAACTTAAAATTGTTTCCTGATGCCTCACTACTGTCTACTTCCATAAGATTTTCCGTAATAGTTTCAACTTCTATCCTATATTGTCCCATTTGTTCATTAACATCTCTGTCCCCCTCAATACATTCTTCTTCAATTCTCTCTATTTACACCTGACATTCTGTTTGCATACTTCAACATTAAAAGTAGAATAGCATGATTACAGTAATTTATAATAATAATAATGATAACAATAATAACAACACAGTGCCAACAATAATAAACCAAATCAAGAATTGAACATTGGGCTTTTAACAAACACTGGGTCTTCATATATTAAACCTGGCTTTCTCTGTATTTAGAGAGGCGCTGGTGACAATGGAAGGGTGTCACCAACACCTATCTCTTTCTACAAATTAAGGAAAATTTATCCTAAACCGTCAATGAATTGAACATGGGTTCTTGTACACTGGGTCTTCATATATTAAAACTAGCTTTCTATGTATTTAGAGAGAGATGCTGGAGACAATGGGAGGGTGTCACCAGCATCTCGCTCTTCAAGTTTAGAAAATCTGTTCTAAACGATCAGTGAATCTCACGTCGTATTCTCCTTGTCTAAACCAGCTAGGAAGGAATTTGTTCATCCTTAATCAGTTTCAGTAATATAAATTGGTGTTGCAAACTTACATGCAATGTTAATTCATTATCTAGTTTCCAGTTATTTTAACACCAGTGCCAAATTTTCAAACTGATATATCATATATTTCTCATTATTTATCAGATATATCAATGAGGATACCTCAATTGTTCCCATGCTAGAAATGATTAAAGACTCTGGCCGTGCTACATTTCTGGTGACGAACAGGTAGCTTTTTTTATCCTGCAAAGTTGTTGAAGATAATACGTATGATCCCTCCGTGATTTTGACTTGAACGTAAAAGAAGATAGATTATTTGGAACATTTCCTACCAAGAGTGTGTAAAACACCTTTTTCTCTGGATAAATCAGAAAAATGAAATAATCTTCTCTAGTTTCTTTCTAGGTAGAGGCGGAAGATTGCATCAATTGATGTTACCTGAATATGTCTTAAAGAAACTTAAGAGCTTCAAACCCCATCGTACATGTTGAAACTCAATAGTTTTGATATACGTGCATGGTGTTATGGAGTCAATGTTTGTTGCCAATTGCAATTTTCTTGGCTCTCTGAAGATTGAAAAATCTCAAGTACTTTGTCCTAGATTGATTAAAATGGAAAGTATATGATACTGGCAAATATCTTCTTTTAGGCTTTCATATCTATTACTTCATTCCTCTTTAAAAATTTATGTTCTTAGTGACTGCATTAGCTGCTCTAAAAATATGATGTGAGGTGTTTTCATTCAATAAACATATTTTAATGCTTATTTGTTAGACTTCTCCCTTGGCTTTTCAGTATAATTCCATTTCTTTGAATTGTTAATGTACTGAAATCACAAAAACCTTCTTATTTCAATGGTAATATGTTCGTGATGGACTGAAGCTGTTGTACAATGTCTGTGCTTAAATGAATGTCTAAATAACTCTATTGAATTTGATGCAGCTTGTGGGACTATACAAACATCGTAATGAACTTTCTTTGTGGACCAATCACCATGAATAGCTGCTCTGCTTTTCATTGGCTTCAATACTTCGATGTTGTTATTACTGGCAGGTGATTAGCTTCTCGACACATGACTCTCTTTACAAACAGTGTGAACTATATATATATATATATATTCTCCCCCCCACCCCCACCCCACACACC